TTTTAAAAATTTGATGTACATATATTGTATGATATCTTCTGCAACTTATTTACCCAGGAGTTTTAACTTGAACTTTGTGGTGGGGCATATAGTTCTTTTAAATTCATTGTCACCTCTGCATAGGTTTCCATCATGTAACTCGACCATTGCATGTCTGCATCTACTCCCCAGTTGATGTGCACTTAGTTAAAAGCAGTTCTTTACTTTTATAAACAATGTTGCATTGAACACTTTCGAATGTGCCCTTTTGCCAAACTGTGTTGATCCAAGACAGGCAGCTACAAATGGAATTGTTAGGTCAAATTTTTTCTCTCTGAAGGAGTTGTACCAATTTGTATCCCTACCAGCAGTGACAAGAATTCCCATATTTCCTATTGATCTATAGCTTGACCAACACTTGGTACTGGGACACTTTAAAAATATTTCCAATAGGTTGGGTGAGAAAGAATACTTTTAGGTTTATTTCCATTTCTCTAACTACTAGTTGGATTGAGCTTCTGTTCTTGTTTATTGGTCATTGGATTTCCCCTACTTTAAATTGTTGGTTCTTGTCCTTTGCTTGATTTTCTATTGGGTCATTTCTTTCTTATTGATTTATAGGAGTTCTCTATAAATTGAGAATTCTAATCCTTAGTCAATTTAATGTGTTGCAAATGCCTGTGAAAATATATTTGCAACACATTAAAAATGAAGCTTGTCTTTGCTTTGATTTTTGATGTTTTTCGTTGTACCAAAATTCTTAATTTTAATGCAGCCAAACATTTTATTCTTTTCCCTTATATTTTATATGTATTGTAACTCATTTGAGAAATCTTTCTTTTTTCCAAGGTCATGAACTGTTCATCTATATTTTTTCTAAAGATTTTTAAATATTGTTTTTGTATATTTAGCTATTCATTCTGTTTGGAATTTATTTTTATATATGATGTGAGGTAGGGATCTAATTTTCTGTCTTCCTTCTTAATCATTTTTCCCAGCACTATTTGATGAATCTTGTCCTAATTAATCAACACCACCAATACAATCATCTCTCCAGTTTCCTTATATTCATGGGTCTCCTTTGTGGCTATCTTTTCTTTCACTAACGCATTTCTCTGTCACTGCCCCAAGTGCCACTGTCTTCATGATTACAGCTTTATAACAATTCCTGACATCTAGTAGGCCAGATTCCTTCCAGAAACCTCCCACATCATTGTTTTAACAAAACCCTGCTGGGATTTTTCTTATTGAGTTGCACTGAGTTTATAGAAATTTGGAAAGAGATAACTTCTTTAAAAATATTAAGTCTTTCCATCTTTGAACATAACGTGGGTTGAGCATCCCAAAACTTGAAATGCTCCACAATTCAAAACTTTTTGAGCACTGACATGATGCTCGAAGGAAATGTTCATTGGAGTGTTTTGCATCTCAGATTTTTGGATTTGGGATGCTCGCTTCATGAGTATAATTCAAGTATTCAAAAATCTTAAAAAACCCAAAATTTGAAACACATCTGATCCACACATTTCAGATAAGGGATACTCAGCCTGTACATTTCTACACTTATTTTTCTTCGTTAATATTGTTCCATGAATTTATAATTTTTTTACATAAATATCATGTGTATATTTTGTTAGATTTATTTCTACCTGCGTTGTGGACTGTGTTGCTATTATAAATGTATTTTCTCAAAAAGTTTGTATTGTAATTGTTTTTAGTTGATGTGTACGACTGGTATTGATTGTGTGTCTTAATCTTTTATTCAACAATCTTTCTCAACTTTTTTTTTTAATTTTATAAAAAATGACAGCAAATTTTATTTTTTAAAACAACCCCGTCAGTCCCGCCCTTTTCCCTCACAAGAGTATAATAGCCACAAATGTAGGGATCTTGTCTTTCTCATTCAGTTCCTCAGGAGGTATTTGTTGGATGAAATAATTAATAAAATATCCAATTTGGGATATAGTGTCCACTCACTGTTATCAAAGTGGTTTTATTAATACATAACTGCTCTCTCTGCTGAAAAAGGACTTCTTTTTTTCACCTGGCAGCCTGGTCTCCCACACTCAACCTGACTCCAGATTCCCAAAATAACTGGGCCCCTCCATGCTGCCGGGGCTTTGTGCCCTTGTCTCTTCTAAGCCAGGCAAACGTGTCTGTCCCCTTCAGAGACTCGCCCTGGTCTCAGCTCTTCCAGGAAGCTTTCTTGGATTTTCCCATACTTCAGATAGATGTGTCCAGAAAGTAAACAAACAAACCCAAAAAGCAAACAAGAATTAAGGTAAACCATATGCTCAGAGCATCAGCCTTAAAACCAAGCATCCAGAGCCATATGGAAAGGTACATAGAATAAATGACATTATGATGGCACAAACCGCTGCTGCAGTCTGGGAAAAGAAACTTATGAATAACAGATAGGAAGCCAAGCTCCACCAATACATCATCATGTCAACAATTAGAAGGAATAGAAACACTAGATCCAGACGCCCCCACACTCAGACAGTGAGTCAGAAAAAAGAAGAGCAAGAGGACAGAAACGCATTGTGTATCGATGCTGCTCATTCCTGTGCCGTTTCCTAAGCACTCTATTCTGTGAGTGAAAACAAAATATATTTGAACCTTTTATTCCAGGCTTTTAAAAAATCACTTCAATTTTCCTCCTCTGATAAATGTTTTACGAGTTCCCTTTTCTGATGAAAGATTTTGCTGTGATTAAAGATTTCATGAAGTTATGACAACAGAGGAATAGATCTTCATTCTCGGAAGCTCATTTTTCTGTGAGCTGAGCGAAGAGGCCTCTTGTAGGCAGCTGTCAGAGCTAATGAATGTTTTCCAAGCGCCAAACCTCTGGGGAAGACAGCCCCACCCAGAAAACCCAGACTCAACTGATGGGAGCTGTCATCTCAAGGTGTGCGGCACCCTGTTGACGCTGTGCTACATGATATAAATGGTGACATACGGCCGGGCGCCGTGGCTCCCACCTGTAATCCCAACACTTTGGGAGGCCAAGGCGGGCAGATCACCTGAGGTTAGGAGTTTGAGACCAGCCTAGCCATCATGGCGAAACCCCGTCTCTACTAAAAATACAAAAATTACCTGGGCATGGTGGCGGGCACCTATAATCCCAGTTACTCAGGAGGCTGAAGCAGGATAATTGCTTGAGCCCAGGAGGTGAAGGTTGCAGTGAGCCGAGATCGTGCCACTGCACTGCAGCCTGGGCAACAAGAGTGAGACTCTGTCAAAAAAAAAGAGAAAAAGAAATGGTGACATGCTGCCGCTTTCCCCCTGAGAGCAGGTCACATGCCCATGTTCTGAAAAACTGGTATTTCACAGATGCCCTGTGTCCTTTTGACAAAGTCATACTTGTGTGTGCGTGCGTGCACGTGTGAGAGTGTATATGTGTGTGCGTGAATTTCTGGGCCTGTCACTGCACCCCCTGTGCCTCACTTCCCCTCTCTGGGAATTGCCGAGGACATGTGTGGCTTTGGAATGAATAGAGGTCCACATCTATCGGGAAAAGCCAGGGGTTTGGAGCTCTGCACCCAGGGCCTGAGGCATCACAGCAGCATGCCTGTCCTCTCCTGAGCCTCCGTCTCAGCGCAGCTGGGGCTCCACGGACTACCCCCAAGGCTGTTGTGATGAAGTCACAGGCGATTGTCCCTTTCCTTTGACCGGACTTTCCTTTAACAGCCAGCGAAGCCTTGCCTCCTACTTGGAGAAATACATTTGAGAATTCAAATGCCCTTTGGAAGGCCATGTTTTGAAGTCACACTAGGCTAATAATGACCCAGAGCACAGATCTTTTTCTCTTAGTTTTCTCCCCCCATGAAAACTGTTTACCCTGCTCTTCCAAGAAGAATGGCCTCTGTTCAGTTACTGTCATCTCTGTCTGTCCTGTCGTGGGTGCAGCCATCCACTGAGCTCAGCAGACATTTATTGATGACCTGTTATGTGCTGACTGTGATACTTGGTGTCTGAGATACCGTATGAGTTTTCGGCAAGTATTCAACTGTAACGTTAACCTATCAGATGATGACGGACACAGATGGTGTGTGTGGGGCTGGATTTTTCCACTTTGCACATGGAGTTCACACGGCTAGAGGGAGGCTGGCAGTGCAGGGCTGCCACGACCACTCAAGGATGTGGCTCTCAAGCACCCCCGACCCTGCTCTGCCAGCCACAGCCTGTGGTTTTTGTCCTCAGTGTCCCTGATGGTTACTGAGCTTCTGGGCATCCTGCTTGCTTCTAGGGAGGAAGGAAGGGGAATGAGGAAGGCAGAAGGGTAAAAGCCTTCTCCCAGGACATGGTGTTTGTATTTGGGAAGGAAAGTCTCTAGGGGCCTGTGCCTTACTGGCTAGAACTTCACCACATGGACCAGTCCCTGCAAGGAACAATGGGAACTTGAGCATTTTACTTGTCACCTCTAGAAGAGAGGAAACAAAGGAGTAGAGGCTTCAGAGGGTGGTGAATAACCCCCCAGTGTCTGCCCCAGTTCTAGAGGTGCCCGCATGGGAGAAGCTCACACTGGGTGTGCACACACACACAAACAGGACACGCGTCGCCACACTTTGGGGCCCAGCGTGGAACCTGGTAACTGAGGATGCTGACTTGGACACAGCACCCTTGAATGGCACTGTATGCCTGCGTTTCTCCGCAGGCATATGACGCAGATCACCAGACTTTAGAGTCAGGTGTTCCAGTCGTCAGTGTATGTCGAGGTGTGGAGAATTCAGGTTACCTTCCCAAGGCCACTTGGTTGGTAAAAAGCATGGCTGGGCTGTGAGCACATGTCCCCAGGACCCCGGGCCCAAGGAGAACCTGATGCCGACACCCACTCCTTAGAGTTCACACTCGTGTTCAGAACCAGTCTCCGTAATCCTCTGAGCCCAGGAGCACTTGGCATTTTGATATACTTTGCCCCTCTTAAGTTGCGGGAAATCTTTGGAGAGGAGAAATAGGAAAAGTTATTCCTCTTTGGCTGTCAGAAGATTCTGAACTTTCTTTTGTCTTGAACGCAGTACCCGGCAGTGTCACCTGCTCCTGGATGTCTTCAACTCCACCGAGCATGAGCTGACCATCAGCACCAGGAGTAGCGAGGCGCTCATCCTGCATGCCGGCGAGTGCCAGCGGTAAGTGCTCCATGGCCCCTTGCGCCGCCGCTGGCCGCCCTCTGCCTTCACCACCCTGCTTGGGGGGGTGTGGAGCTAATCCACTCCGGGTCCTGAGAGGACGGGCAGTTTGTCTCCCTTTCAGAGATATCGTAGTGGTTATTCAAGTTTGGTGGGAGAATCTGGAGTGGTTTTAAATTAGAGCTAAGTGCAAAGTAGGTAAAGCCGGGTGGCATCTGAGGAAGTAACACATGTGCTTTCGGAGCCCGCATTTGAGGACCCGGCAGCATCTCGGCATCTTCGCTGTTAAATTCCTAAGAAAGTGGTATCTGGGTGGGACGTGGTGGCTCACGCCTGTAATCCTAGCACTCTGGGAGGCCGAGGCAGGTAGACCACCTGAGATCAGGAGTTTGAGACCAGCCTGGCCAACATGGTGAAACCCCATCTCTCCTAAAAATACAAAAACTATCCAGGTGTGGTGGCACATGCCTGTAATCTCAGCTACTCGGGAGGCTGAGGCAGGAGAATCACTTGAACCCGGGAGGCGGAGGTTGCAGTGAGCCGAGATTGATCATACCACTGCACTCCAGCCTGGGCAACAGAGCGAGACTCTGTCTCAAAAAAAATAATAATAAAAGGTGGTATCTGGAAATATTTGGCATCAGTTTGGGAACTGCATGTCAGCATCAATAGGAATTCCTTTGAGGAATTAATACTACAGAAAGGCCAGGCTCAGACCTTCAGGAGGGGAGCACAGTCACTCAAACCCAGTCTCTGGAGGGCAAAGAGAGGTGGCACTACCAAACGCTGGCCAGGGTCAGCCTCAGGAGACCCCTGGCCCAGCAGAGGTGAGTGAAGGCTGATGCAGAAGTGAGAGCTGGTCAGGAGCGAAGCCAGGGCCGCCAGGGCATGTCTGGAGGCTGGTGGAGCTCAGTGACTCCGGGGTGATGCGGTCCTTCCATGGTGGAGCCCCTCCATGGGCCCCTGACCTGCTCCCCACTCAGCCTCCCTCCATACTAAGAAGCTGTGCCTCCGAGCCCAGCCTGGGTTCTAGGGACATCCACTTACAGATGGAATTGCAGATGGAATAATATTTTTATTTTTAATTGCTAAAGACTTCAAACATACAGAAAATAACTTTGAACTTGGCATACCCACATCCTAGATTTTGCTTTTTTCTTTTTTTTTTTTTGCCCCAGATCTTTCTCTCTCTCTCTCTCTCTCTCTGCCTCTTTCATTTGTTTTAAGGAAATAAAATGTTTTTTTAAATGGCAACGTTAACATTAACAATCAGTGGTGGAATATAAGTCCAAACCACGATGAGACAGCATGACACACTCATCAGGATGGTTAAAGACAGCGCCAAATGTTGGTGAGGGTGTGAAGCAACTGGAACTCTCATGCCTTGTGGGTGGGGATATAAAATAGTGCAGCTGCTTTGGATAAAGGTCTGGGTCTATCCTATAAACTTAAACGTACACTTACCCTTTGCCCAGCTATTTCAACCCTAGTTATTTATTTAAGGATAATATAAAACATGTGGTCACAAGAAGACCTATACAACAGTGTTCCTAGCCAGAAAACAGAGGCCAGGTGTCCGTTACAGGAGAACGGACAAACAAATGGTGGTGTTTTCTTACAAACGGAATGGTACTCTGCAACAAAAACGAATGACTTACTCATACACAGAACAGCACAGGCAACTCTCAGGAACAGGATGCTGGGTGAAAGGAGCCTTACCCAAAGTGCATATGCCATGAGATCCCATTGATACGAAATGCTGGAGGTTGCTGCAAAAGTAATTGCGGCGTTTGCCATTATTTTTAATGGTGAAAACAGCCATTACTTTTACACCAACCTGTAGAACAAGCAGAACCAGTTTATGATGGAAAAAGTCAGAACATTGGTTCCCTCTGGAGAGACTGGAACGGGGTTTGATCGGGAAAGGGCATAAGGGTAGTTTTCTGGTGACGGTCATGTTGTATATATCAATCGGGTTTTGGGTCACACACATGTATTTATTTGTTAAAACTCAGCAAATAATCACTTGAGATTTGTACATTTCCTGATGTATCAGCTTTGTATCAGAAGGAAAAACTAAACCAGTGTGGAGCTCTGTTAATGATATGCACGCTGGAGGGTTTGAGGTCCGGGCATGATGTCTACAATAGTCTTTGAGTTGTATAAAATATCTGACAGATTAATAGATGGGCAGATGAATACATTAGGTGCTAACACAAATATAGTATAATGTTAACAGTAGTGTCTCTTAATGGGCATATGGGGTATTCAGTGTAAATTTTTTTCACCTTATATTTGAAATTTTTTAGAAGAAAGTATTGGGAAAAATAAAAGTAAAAATAGCTAAAGTCTTCTCTTCTGCCCACCTCATCCCATCTTCTTTTCTCTTTCCTTCCTCTTCAGGGTAATTTCTTTCTTAGAGGTGATGGTATCATTGCACATCTATGTTTTACTACTTTATTGTACATACATATATCTCCAACCAAACATTATTTTGAGAGTTGTTTTGTTTTGTTTTGTTTTTGATATGGAATCTCGCTCTGTCACCCAGGCGGGAGTGCAGTGGCACAATCTCGGCTCATTGCAACCTCCACTTCCTGGGTTCAATTGATTCTCCTGCCTCAGCCTCCTGAGTAGCTGGGATTGCAGGCGCCTGCCACCACACCCAGCTAATTTTTGTATTTTTAGTAGAGATGGGGTTTCACCATGTTGATCAGGCTGGTCTTGAACTCCTGACCTTGTGATCTGCCTGCCTCAGCCTCCCAAAGTGCTGGAATTACAGGCAAGAGCCACTGGGCCTGGCCGAGAGTTTTTTTTTTTTTAATGACATAAGTGGTTCCATATCATATATGTCCTTTTAAAACTTTAAAATTCAGCATTATTCTTTGGAGCTAAATATAAATCTGGTTCTTTCATTTGAACTGCTATTAATATTTCATTGTGTAAATATGCCACTTTATTCATTTCCATGCTAATGCACTCACTGTGAGGTGGCTTCCAGGGTATTCATATTTAATGTGATTATTGTTAATGACATGCATGAATGTCAAGCCGGGCCCTGCAACCTTGTAGCAGGTCCTGCTTGGGCTGCTGGAAGCTAGAGATTCAATGGCTTGGGGGGCATTTATGGCCTGCCTTTGAGAGGTGCCATAGAACCCTCCTTCCCAAGATCCCTTGGACAGGACTTGTCACTTGGGTGTGGGAACACGCGTGGGCTGGTGTACGCTTCTGTGTGTATGAGCTGTGAGGGCTGTGGCTGGACGCTGCGGCACCTCAGGTTCGTAAGGGTGGGGACAGGTGCCTTCAGGGAGCACCGATGCATCCCCTGGGGTCTACGCCTTTGGCAGTGCTGGGTCCAGTGCTGCTGCGTAGAGAACTGTCGGCCCTCGGACTACTCTTTCTTGTCTAAATGCCTTGATGTAGTCCAAGATCCCAGAGAACATAAATCTGGTCTTCTGATGACACTAGTATAAAACACTTTAAAGAAATTATAAATTGCTAAGCTTGTCCTGTATAGTAAGCTTGACTCATTCTTGGCAATGCGAGGCTGATGACATTAACAGTCCCAGCTGCAAATAATCACAATTTAGTCTTGTGCTTCAGGCTTTTTTGTTATTAAGTTTTTGCTTAAATTCTCATTTCTGAATGCTTCTAACTCGCTTATTCTTTTATTTATTCATAAAATATTCATTCAATAAATATTGATACTTCAGGAATTTGCTGTGTGGTAAGCCCCGCATCAGGCTTTAGGCGTGCCAAGGAGAATAAATAAGGGCCCCTTCTCGCTGGGGAGTGGCAACGCACTGGGACAAGTGTCTAACCCAGCCAGAGCAGCTGCCTTTTGCTGCCTGACAAGGGCATCTTGCTGTCCCGGGCTGGGTGGGAGCGGCGGGTGAACTAGAGGCCGTGAGGTTACATTTGTCTAGGGAGTCATGTTAGGTGCCCCCCCCGCTGTGTCCACTGCTGTAGACACCCATGAATCCATGTGACAATGCCCTGAGTGCCTGTTTGGAAGGCTTGAGCCCTGAGCCCTAGAATGCATGATTCCCTTCCCCTCCCTTTCCCAAACCTCTCTCAGTGCCTCACCAGCCTCCTGGGGGTCAGATGCACACTCAGCCTCCGTGGAGGGGTTGTGCAGAGCAGTGCAGGTGGAGGAAGGGAAATGGTTGTACCTTACTTCGCAACGCCGGGCAGCACCTTACAGACCTCAGACCTGGTCCCTGTCCATCCAGGCTTTGTCTCTTGAGTACCCAGTTCCTTCCCAGAGTCCTGAGCTAAACCCCTCTCCTGGCTCTTCCCTTCCCCTACGAGGAGGCACCCCTGCCACCCCCCAGGCTGTGCTAAACCTAAAGAAGCTTCCTCTGCCTGTGTTTTGCCCTCTGGAGTGGAGAGGGCGTGGACTCTGCCTGGAGGTGCGGGCAGTAGTGGGGCTGAGACTCCAGCTTAATCTCTGTCAGCGGGAGCGGCAAGCAGTGCTCTCACTGCTACCTGAGGGAGGCAGGTGCACAGCACTTTCCTCTGCAGATAGCACAGCCTCCTCTTAAAGGAAGAGCCAGATTCCTGGAATTAACATGGCTTTGATGCTGCCGTTTGCAGAACTGGCATTCAAAGGTGGCCTGCAATCTAAGAGAGAGACCAACCCCAGTTAGATAATTGTGGTGCCGCTGCCTCTCCTCCCTCCTAGTAGGAAGGGGTGATCTCATCTCACCCAGTGCAAGAGCTATGGATAGAAATGTGTCCCCAACAGCACGAGGAGGAGCAACATGCTTCCTGGGGGAAGAGAGGATGGAAATAGTATTTACCGAGCACTTCCCATATGAAGTCACATTCAGTCCTCATAATATTCTCATGTGGGAACAGTGTCCTCATTTTATAGATAAGCAGACTGAGTGGCTGATCAAAGCCACTTTGTGGAAGCCCGTCTGTCTGACATCCAGCTCTGCCCTGTTGCTCCACACACCAAGGGGGGATGATGCTGGAGCCAAGCTTGGGATGGTGTG